TTGTGAACATGGATGCTATCGAAGCTGATGGGCTCTCTCAGGGCAGCGTGGTGGCTTCTTAGACCCATGTACTGCCAGCAAAAGACTGCATCGCTTCGAAGCCAAGCTGCCGAGGGAGGCAGAGCGATCAGCACAGTGCCTGGAGCCAGGCTAATCACTCGTGGATCGAGTCCTTCTCGAGACCTTCTTAATTATCCCCCTCTCCGATTGAGATTGTAGAGGAAACAAATCACCGATGTCTTGAAATGTGAAGGTTGTTGTCTTAATGCTGCACAGCCAGGCTGTGATTTCAGGAAGCTGTGCTGCAACTCGCCCCGTTGATTAGGGAGTGCAGGGTGGTGGGGCATCCGAGGTGGGAACGGGCTTGGGCTCTGAAGACAGCCAGTGCCCTGGCATGACACCTACTCAGCAGATTTCCTATTTTCTGTTTGTCTCTGCTCTCATTGTGAATAACGTTTGCCTTGGACAAGCAAATCTTGCCTGGGCAGATTAAATGGTCTGTTTGCCACTGGCAGCGCTGCACCCAGAATGACATCCAGTTTTGGGGGTCAGCACAATTCAAGAGAGATGTTAAGATGCTGGTACAGTGATGGGATACCAAGATGTTCAGTGACCTAAAGCGTATCATCTACAAGGAGATGTTGAAGGATCTGGCCTTACTTAAGTCTGGTGATGGCATGGCTAACTAGGAATCTAACAGCAGTCTACAACTACTTGAAGGGGACTTACAAAGAAAGTGCTCTTCTTCTAGCAGTGATGATGGACACAAGCTAAAGGGTGGGAGTCTCGAAGTGACCACTAGGACAAAACATCTCTGCTGGGTGGGTAGTATGGCACTGGAACAGGTTGCCCAGAGAGGCTCTGAGCCCTCCATCCCCAGAAGTGTTGAAGCCTTGTCTAGTCAAAACCATGGCCAGCCTAGTATTGGTGACCTTCAGCAGTAGGGTGTCCCAGCTGACCTCCAAGGTCCCTTCCAACAATATGGTTATGATAGCAAGCAGTTATTTTCTAAATGTGTATTTTTCCTAAGTGCAGTTTATAGTGCTGATTTCCTCACTCAAGTTTGTCTTTAAAGCCCGGCTTTCTGGTCTCAGTGAAAACCATGGATGAGACCACGCAGGTTTGGGGACTGCTGGAAATGTTTAATTCACAGTCATCGTTATCGAATTCACATGAAGTTGGGTACAAGCACATGGCCTAAAACGCATCAGATAGCTGGCGTTTATGTCATCTGACTGACTGTAAAACACCCTTGCTTGAGGTGGGACGACGTTTCTGGGCATACGACAGGTCTTAAATTGACAGCCCTCATCCTTGCTGGCTGGGAACTTGGGAAGGAAGGGAGCAAGAGGGATGTTGTCAGATGACTTTAGCTTTCCTGCTCCATAGCAGTAATTTTGAGTCTTCTGCTTGTTCGGCCATAACCCTTGTGAGAAACCAAAGCTATGCAGACAAAAATCCCCCCCTCAGCCCTGAAAGCATGAGCCAGAAATAAAGCACACAGAGAGGAACTTTCTTTCTTCAATTTAATTGAAGTTACTTAGAAAAATAATCAGGCTTGAATGGCTTTTTTAAGGAAAGATTCATGAGCAGTTCACACTTGTGTTGGCATCGTATAATTTAGCTTTTCTCTTTATTAACAGTATATTTAGGTATGAGGAGATACTTTTCTACAACAAGCCTTCTACTGCATACAAATAGGTTAAAAAAAAAATCCAACCCCACATTGATGTTAAATTATTCGTACACATTGTATTGTGCATGCATGTAAGAAAATAACACTCTCTGTAACAAGAGTAATAGTAAGGACAGTCCCTTTTTGTACCTGAAAAGTGCAGCAGACTACAGTGAAACCCTAAAACATCTGGGGTCAACTTACTTCTAAAAGCACTTCTGCTTCTGGATTATTTATTTCACTTGTCTTACGCAGCGCGTGGTTCAGGCAGTTTGCATGTTTCTGTGATAATGGACATGGTTTTATGAAGAGGCTGAAGCACAGACCGAGTCGGGTCTGGGGGGGCCTCCCGCCGCCCAGGAGTCACTGCCGTGTCCAGATGGGCCAAATCCAGCCTGGGCTCCAGTTTAAGGTGCTTGGGGCCGTCTGGGGGAACGAACGCCCGGCTGTGGGTATCGCGCCAGGTGAGGAGCCACGGGCGCTGCCGGGCTCAGCGCTGGCCCTGCCAAATGACGGGCATCACCGCTCCTCGCGCCCAGCAGCTTTGAGAGGGCTGGGGGCAGAGCTGGGGAGCAGGACCGTCCCTGCCGGGTCCTCCCTGCTTTCGCCGCTGCTCGACCGTAACTGATGCACATCCTTCCAAAACAGCAGCTCCCCGGGTGGCCCTCGCGGCCCCACGGGCGCTTCTGTATTTTGTATTTTGCTGTGGCTGCAGGAGGAATGAAACCTGGAGGAATGAACCCTGGGAGGGAGGCAGAGCTTGGGAGCAGACCAGCCCCTCTTCTCCCCTGGCTGGGAAACCCAGTGAAGAGGTGGGGTAGAAGCAACCCGGCTCCCCGGCTGCTCCCGCACTGGGGTGGTGGCTGCCAGCTCGCCGAGATGAGGAGGAACGACCCTGAACGTCCTCCTGTTGCGGGGGTAGCGGAAAGAAGTATTTTTTGGCTCAGACAAAACAACACACCCAGCAGACCAAAAAAAAAGGGCTATTGCTTAACGTTGGTGGTCCTCCTCCGACCTGCTGAGGGCTTCACGCTCAACGTGCAGGACACAATCGCGTCCAGCGTGTCAGCTGTTCATTTTAAAAACACAGATCTACAGCCCATTCACAGCACCCCAGAACAGACATAACACGCTAAATGGACAGTTTCTAATAGTTTGGGATCAAGGTTTTTAAAAAGCAAGTGCCTTTTAAGTAAGACCACATAAAAGCCATCTCGGTGCTGAGCACCCGCCCGTGGGGCAGCTCTCTGCGGGGAGGCAGGATTTGGGTAATCAAACCCAAAGCTGCTGCTAAAAATCCCGGCTCAAGCAGCGCTCACCCCTCGGATCTGAACATGTTTTTCTCCTAAAGCTCAGCTGTCAAATAGGGTGTTTGTGTCTCCAAAGCAGTGAAACCAAACAGAGTATTTCAGAACAGGTAAAAACGTGGTGACGACAGAGAAAAGTACAAAAAGAAAGGGGGAAGCACACCCCATTTTAAAAATATTGCCTTTCCGATGCAACTTTTTTCTTAAAGGAAAACATTCGCATCACATTCTGTTGGGAGTGGATTAACAGCTAACTGAAGAGAAAATTGAACCAAAATATTAGCACTGTTGGATACAAGACCAAACAAGCACACAAATAGCTTGTGGGAAATACTGGGGAGGAGAGGGACAATCTACCCTCTGACAGGTTTTTTTTTAAATAAACATATAACCATTGAACTATGAACAAAGGAAAGCCAGGGCATGCTGTAATAGGCACTTGCAACAGCTCCGCATACTCTAAACGAGACAAAACTGCTTTCAAGTAAAACACCAGCCAGCGATCAGGAAACACTCAGGAATTCAAAGCCATCAGATGCAGCCAGCCAGCTCCTCACTAGCCACTGGATCAGCGCTCCGGGTTATAAATAGTACCTGGGTTATAAAAACTGTGGCTGCTCCAGAATGGATGAGATTTATTTTTAGGGAATGATAAAAAAAAATAATGACCTGAATCCTGGCTAAGAGCAAATCCAATTGTGAAAGGACTTCAGCTGCTGTTTGTTATGTTAATTTGTTCTTTGCTGAGATTTATTTGGTGACTTATTTTTATAAAATAAGATGGAACCTATTTTTCTTCTTTAACCATGTACGTATCCTGGAGACTAGTATAATTCAGGGGATGTAATTCGGCTGCTGTACAATACAACATTTTGGCGATCTGGCTCCGATACGGTTAAACCAGCTCTGCCTTCAGCTGAGTTTATTTAAATCTTCGCTAATTTTTGGAAGGGTTTGATCTGATCATAAAATTGACATACAGGCAAGTCAAAACCCCATTTTAACCATCAACCATCAACTTTAAAACAGATTTTAGGTTCCCACAAGTGCCTCAACTTAAGCCCCTGCCTCCTTCTGCCCACCGGCTGGCTGCCGGCGCTGCCGCCCCAGGACGGGACAGCTTGGGGTGGCTACAGACCATTCCCCAGGCAGGCGCCTGCCGCCCACTTGGCCATGGACCTCACCTGCACCAAACTGAAGCAAACGTTTGGAGAAGCCTGTACTGCTGCTCACCAGCTTGTGAATAGAGCCACATTGAAATCCCATTTTTCATTATTTATCTGCTGTGAATAGGTTACTACTTGTTTGCCCAAACCAACCTCTCGGTGTGCTATGCCTGGTACAATCTGCCGTCCCGACAAGCGGTTACACGCAGAACAATCATTACTGAGCCATTCACCTTAACTAAAAAGGTCATGGTCTCATGCTAGAGCTGGCTTAGATAAAATACTAACCCACTGGAAATTAGAAATATCCCTGTCAATGGTATTTAGGCAACAACTAAAAGAAGGCTCCCTTTTCCCCTGGGAAAAAGCCATGAAACTAGCATGTAGGAAGATGAGACCTTTTTTATTGCCTTGCATGCTCAGAGTTCAAAACAAAGATGACTTTCTGACTTTTGAAAGGACATGGCCACATCCTCTGCCACAATGTATCGTGACCAGTGTTTTTTGAGTCAATTTTGGTTGCCCATCTTAAGATCAGGTAGGGAGGGATGACTTGCAGAGGATGGACCTCCTCCCACCCCATCCTGGATATGAACTAAGTGAATGCCGATTGCTTTGGGCATTCAAAAATCTCTACAGTCACTTTCAAAATGCTGATTTTTTTCTGATGGACCACCTGCAAATCTGCACTCATGTGGGCTGGCAGGCTTCAAATTAAGAGACAATGGGACTAGTAATCTTCTTGATAAAATCATTAAGTCCAGACTTATAAAAAATTCATGGTTTCTCTTCCCAAGGAATACATTCATATTTCTTTCAGTCGTGGGTTTTAGATATCATGAATCTATCAAGATCTGTTTTACTTTTCCCTTTCAAGGCTAGAAAGATTTTTTTAGTATGCTTAAGTGCAACATCACTTTCTGAAGAAATTATTTCCACCCCTCTTCTCAAAGTGTGTGGTATCAAGAACCATTCCTGTATTTACCTGCATCAATGGTAATGGAAGAATATTATTACCCAGAGACAAACTCAACTGAGGAAAGCACAAAACCAGACTCCTTTTGTCCAAATGTTATCTTATTTCTGCTGCTGAAGTGACACCTACCAAGAGACTATGTTTTAAATAAGTATAAATAACATTAATTAGAATTGGAGGAATGCAAGATCAATGAAATTCACCAGAACACAATTAACATTTTTTTTAAACAGTGTAGCAGTATTATTCATTTCTACAGCTAGATCGTCACAATCCTGTTACCCTGCAAAGAGAGCTGTCCTTTCTTACAGTTGATTTAAATAATTTTGACTGTGCTGCTCGCAGCATCATTCAAAAAAAGAAAATATTAATTTACAAAATAACCCATTCTCCATATTTATTATGACAAATAAAAATCTTAAATAAAACAGGCTTTCTCTCCCCTCTTTCCCCCCGACCCATCCCTCATTCCAATTTCAGGTAGCTTGGCACTGAGTAATTGAACATTAAAAAATCAAGTTTGTAGACTTCATACAGCTGCGTTTGGTGCTCAGAGCTGATGTTCTGGAAGAACTCTGTGGTCATTTCATCAGTAGTTCTCGTAGACTTTGCATAGGTGGGGAACTTCAGGTAGTTGCCTACTCCTGCCAGCTGGAGAATGTAATTCGAATCCTCTTCGAGCGTTTCGTATTTCCCTATGAGGTCGTAGTGGATGTGGCAAGGGTGGCAGAGGGAGTACACAGTCTGCCAGTGCTCGTTGAAGGGCTCTTCTCTTTGGGTGTGCGGGTCGATGAGATACGCCACAAACTCTTCAAACTTCACGTCATCACCTTTGCGCAGAGCTTCCTGTGTTGCGTTTTTCCTCTGGCGCCTCACGATTTTGGTGCCGTATCGCTTGTGGAAGGAAGTGTTGTACTTCTGGGTGAACTTGTTCCTGTAGGCTGACACCAGTCTCTCAAAAGGCTCGCGAACAAAAAGGAACTTCATGTAGTTTTTCAAGCGGTGGTTGATCTCTGGGATGCTGTACTGGTTGAGGGTCTTCAGGTTTGAAGACACATGGGCTTCATTGGCTGGGATTTCCATCGGATCGCTGTACTTGCCCCTTCCCGTCAAAACCATCATGACTCTCTTCCAGTTTGTGCAGGCCACTTTGGGAACATAGCAATAGATCATTTCATGATCTTCATCCACGACCAGGTGTTTGAGATCGTTGGGTGTCAGCACGCGGCGCTTCCTGCTAGATACACTGTTAGCTCGGCACGTGTCTGTCACTTGGTCTCGTCTAATCTGATGAAGAATTGCTGTGTTGGACAACTGCAAAGAAAGCACAGGCATCACTAAGTCAAGTGCTGGGAAACTCTTACTGCCTTTTTGCTTATTATACAAATTCATAGAAAAGTAGATTACTGCCTGCATAGAACAACATCACTTCATTATGTTGGTGAGTAAAATTGCTATGCTAGAAGAGAAACTCTTTTTGTCTCCAAACTTCTTGACATGTGCTACTTAAATGCTGTTCACAAAGAAAGCGTCCAGGGCTTTGCTTTGAAGCTGACACAAAGGAGCACAAGTGCTCACACAGCCTGGTGGCAAGTGTATTTACAGCACCCTCATCCTGAGATGCAGTCGCTGGTTTTTTTAGTCCTGGAAAACAGATCTCCACTCTGCACTCCATCCCACGGCTACAGCAGTGCTAGAACCTGCCTGATCCTTTGCTGCTGAAATGGGGTAGGAAGACATCAGAGTTGGAAAACGTGTCAAAATGAAAGCAGTATGTGCTCTTGTTGCTGATGTCTTTTATGCTAGAGGATTAATAATCACGGCTTGTTTCTTGGCTATGACCCTGGCAGAAGAAATGAAGCCCGTGGAGATTCCTGCTACTCCCCAAGGGCAACATCACTCAGATGTGATTTCTTGAGGAGCAGCTATATTAGCTACAGAATATTAGCCATAAATTTGCCTCTCTGCTAAAGACATT